TATTACTTTAAAGATGCTTTCTTCAGATTAAATTAGTAAAGGCATATTTGCAGCAGGAACAAACCCACAATAATATGTCTGGCATTAAGGTGTTAATTACACATAGTAATGCAATGTTGTTGCTAGGCAACAAACAACAATATGGACATGATGTGTTTTTCTTTTTTTTCTATGTCTACAATTAAATAATGATACATGTCAGTTTCTAAAAATAAAATATACATATATAGTGTGCATCTGTCTGAAACAAATGTATTGAGGTCAGCATATTGTCTTAAATCATTGACATAAAGCTGTAAGTTTGTATGACATATTATCTTATCCAAATGATGAGCAGCTAAATGTGTAACGTTATGTTCAGTAAACTTGCTGTTGCACAAGGTGAGATTGGAATAAACTACACTAATAGTTATGGCACAGCTTAAAGATTTACTTCACTTAGCTTTATCAGGAGCACACCTTTGCTCACTTGGCAACAACCAGTTGTGTTTTTTATTAAGTGTCACAGTCAGGAGTTACTTATGTTTATTATTGTTGTGTCCTAATTAATATTGCTACTTATTGGTAAATTTTGCCATTCATAAACACTCAGAGGATTTGTGCCTCGTAATGTAAATAATGTTGCATTACTAAAATAATTAACACTTGAAAGCCAGCCATCATATCATGTGTGCACTCTAATGCCACATATAAGCCTTTGCCAATTACACCTGAAGACACTGATAGCACCATTAAAATTCTTGAGGTCATTGACCTGAGTGACCCATTCTGGCAGTAATCTGCTGAACAGTAACTGCCTGCAAGTGACNTCTTTTTTTTTTTTTTTAGAGCAACAGGTCAGCAGAATGTGTCAAAAATATGAAATCTGATGACTCCTCTGTAAGTAGTGCCCCTACCCCCAATTTTTTTTCTTGTAATTTAAGAATACAATAAAGTATTACTGATCTCTAATGAGAAACAGACACAAACTTCCACAAAACCAGGAAGCTCTAGTTCAACAAATCTCTTTCCATGCAGGCCAGCAGCATTTACATTTAAACGATACTCTGTAAAGTGAGTCTTCTTGTGAACATGGTTTTCCGCTCCAGTGATGTTTTCCATCTTTTTAAGCAGCCGTACCACACTTTGATATCAAGTGTATTCATTATCTGTCTTATCCAACAACAAAAGCGCTAAATGCATGTGTGATTCTGGAAAAACTCATGCTTTATTCATCTTTCTTAAATGAACAATATACTTAGGCTACTTACACGATGTATCAACAATATATTCTAATTTTCACTACCTTCAGGAACACTGAACAGATGGGGTTCAACAGAAACATAAATATCCAACAGACAGGTATTTATTTTTAAGGCTTACTTTGTCGTCCTGCTGTCGCCCTCTTTAGTGTCCTGATTCTGAACCGAGGGCTTCGCTCTGCCTTTAACATACAGATATGTGCCATGCAATCCTAAAGGCCGGTCATTTCTTAAATTTAAATCTGTCTTAAATGCTGCTAAGTAGTCGCTTTGGCATCAAAAACACCTCAGCTTGACAAACTGGTAAAAACAAACAAAAAAAAACTCTCTCCTGAACAGTTAGAAAGAAATCACCGTCTGGGAAAACCTGTGGAAAAGGACGGACTACGTTACATTTAGGATTCAAGACCCACTCCCAACTGAGATTATTCAGACAAATGAATACCACAAACCAATATCAATCATCTAAATTAAAGCACTGCCTTTACTTTAGTGAAAATTTATTTGTGAAACCAGCCCGAGGTGACGTAAAATGTGTTTAACATGCTTTCAATGAGAAGCTCACAATTCCATGACTTGACAGATCCACCTAACGATTAAACCAACAGCATATCATCCACAATATTGAGGCATCCGTTAGAGATCTTAGCATTTACTGTACATAAAACAATCATCTTTTGCATTTATAAATTGAACATATTTATATTATTCTTCATATAGCTCTCTTTGTAAACTGTCCCAATAGATACAGTATGTACAGTAAAAACTGCAACAGTTCTGTTGGTGCTGGTGTCGTGAGCACACTCCCTCCCACAGTTAGAGTAAGACATGGGAACTTTGTCACTCAGAGCTTCATATAACAAAACAAAGCTGACTAGGAAGAATCTTAAAACACACAGCTTTCTCATCTCCAGTCCGTTTAGAGTACACGCAGCCAGTGGACCTCCTCTCAGAGCTGTGTCCATGCCCTCTGACGGGGCCGTAGTGCTCCTCCTGGAGCAGAGCAGAGGGGCGTCCAGGATACTGAGAATCTGGCGATGTCCATATGACGCCTCAGTCTCAAGAGGACAGAAAATATGGCCAGTGGTTCTCATAGTTTTTTTACTCAGCTCCCTGAAAGGTGGTTTCCTGACAGTTTCAAGTGCTTCTGTTTTCTCTCTGAAGTCTACAATTTTCCACTTTTTTTTTTTGTACAAGTCTTAAAAAAAACTATGAAGTCACTGTAAAAGAAACAAAGTTCTGGTTTTCCAGAGCTGGGACTGGATTTAGAGAGTTTTACGTTTTGATCCTGTTACAATTGGTCGAGCGAATTCCACAAAATCATCTATAAGGACTGGCCACGCTCCTGAGGAAGAAACACCAACATGTCATTAGCGTCGCAGCGATCGGAGCGAAATCTGAATGAACTTTTGTGCACGATAGGAGTTCAGACTCACCTTCCTCATCATAGTTTGACATGTCATCTGCAATCATGTTACCAAAGTCCAACAATAGGTTCCATGTGTCCTTAGGGATGGATCGTTTATGATGTTCCTGCAATGGACAGGAGCTGGTGAACGTGCAGGTACAAAAATGGATTCTCACATATATTTTTTCTGTCATAATTATTTTTTTTTGCCATATCAGCACAGTTTACATCACTGTGTGTCCTGAAGCTTCAACAGTAAGCAGGTTGCCACTCTAACCAAACACCATCTGGTTTCACTCGCTGGTCCAAGTGCTGCTAATCAGGGAGGTGTAATGGAAGCCAGTTTGCCCTGAGCCAACCATGGCACAGGTTCTTTCATACTGGACTAAATGGACTTCAATAAGAGATGCAACACTTGAACTTTTTCTCTTTTAACACCAGTATTTAAACTCTGAACATGGAGCGACACGGAGGACTGATATGATACAAGGCTCTCGTTTTCCCGTCAGTCAAAATCTGTATACATCACTGAAAGAACCTCATTTTTGGGTAAAGAGAACATCAAGCCTGAGATTGCTATGGCCATAAAAACTGCCATTACTGATTGCTTAGTCTGACTCATCAAATGTAGACTGTGGGTATTAGGCTGCCATTACCATTTCTCCTCCTCGTCTTCTGCTGTCTACGTTTTCAAAACTCCCCTTACCGTGGGAGACAGCTACAACAACCTCTGAGGTTTTAACCTGCCACATTAAAAAATTCCAGTTTTGCTAATAATTTTCACCATGCAACAAGGCAGCAAAGCTATTTTTCAGTGAATCAGCCATTTTTTATGACAGTGCTCTCCTCCCTGCATGCGAACGTTCCAGCAAAACTATTATGGTTTTGAAGGGGACACTGTTGCTGCATCCTTGGCTTAGCAAGGATAGACAATTGGGAAAGATGATTGTTTTGTAAAAATGCAACCAAGCCAGAGCTTGTTTTTTTCCCCCCTTCTGCAGCAGAGGGATAATGACTTGCAGCCAGACCATTGTGCACAGCGCTGTGTCAGCACTAGAGAACAGTCTGGCTAAGCAAGACTACTGACTGCTTAATAAACTCAGAGTCAGCATTGCTACTCATCTACCATATTTGATCCTTAATTGCACTATTTTTACTCACCAAAAGGAATCTATTCCAAAGATCAAGAAACTTAAATCGTCCTGACAGAACCAGGTTCCAGTAGGCTACAGCCATCTCCAAGTCTGCACACAGGCACAAGGAAGAACTCTTCAGTTCAACTGTTTGTGAAGCAGTGACATCATGTTGTTATGACTGTGACTCTACTTACCTAGACCTTTCTGTCCAGGATTTTTGGCAAAGTTAAAGGTGAACTGGTAGAAGTCCTTGAACTTCCCACTATCTTTTAGCTCCTGCTCTAATCTTGGCAAAAGGGCCTTGAGTTTTTCTGGACTGTCACACCTAGAAAAAGAGACATTTTAAGCAACAATAATCACACACGGACACTTCAACAAGTTGTAACACGACACTCTTGATGCTGATGACAAACTGGCTGAAGGAAGCTCTGATACACGAACCTCTAAAGTCAAAACACTGCAACTTTTTCATTGAGTCATTCCATCAAGACACAGAATACTCAAGCTGTGGGTGGATCTATATATAGACAGCCTTCCCTCCCTGGAGCTACACTAAGAGCACCGCCATGCGAAGCTACTTCAGGCACAGTGTTTACGTCCCTCTTCAGAGCATGTCACACGCTATTGATGTCAAACACTCACCCCAGCTCTGTCATTCCGTCCAGAAACTCCTTCTTGGTGAACTCACACTGAGTGGCAGCGCGAAACTTCCACGCAACAACCAGCACAGTGATGCTGGCTGGATCCAGTGAGAGGTCGTCACAAAACTGCTGGATTCCATCAATACCAATCTTGTTCTCATCTTGAGGATCTATCAAGAAAAAAAAAAAAGCCCAGTTACAATCTTTTACAAACAAGCAGCATCTATGACTTTAACAGAATACAGGCTTTTTTGGACCCTGTCAACTCTGTCCTTGTAAGTATTTTAAGTTCCAGTGTAAAGCACAGATTATAAGTTATTCTACTTGCCTTTGTAGCGATTGTAGAGCTGTTCCAGCTTTTTCCGGTCTACTGAGGTTTTCATGGATTCCTTACAGTAAAGCTCTGGATTCTGAAAGTAGTTGTCCGTGGCAACTTCTAGTTTCCAGTCATTCTGTGTGAGGCAGTACACAGCTGTCTTCTCCCCAGCCTGTGTGAAGGACATGAACTGCCGTACCTTGTCCCTCTGCGAAGACTTCAGCTTATGCTGTGCAAGTACAGGACAGGGGCTGTCAGACACTGGTGCTATCAGACCGGGGAGCACTGACAACAACACGCAAACACACACCGACACGCAGACAAGAACACACAGCGAGACACAAACATCTACAGGCATTCAGGCAACAAGTGAGGAGGACAGAGAAGACCGGGAGACGCTCGGAAACTCTCGAAAGATTAGTCAGTCACACCGACGAAAACATACGTTAGAAAACGCGAGCCAAGACACGGCGGTGGCAATTATGTCCTGTCCAAAAGCAACATGGGCTTTTCTGAAGGGGGATGTTGTGGATTCTCAAAGCACATGCTGTACCTTGCAGGGCCCCTCAGATAACTACAGTCATAGATGTAACATGAGTAGGGAAATGGGATGCCATCGCAAGGACCTAGAGGTGCAACAAGTCTAGAGTGTAACACAAGCACCGTGCCAGAAATGCTTGGCAATAATAATCATTTTTAAAAATCAGGTTAAAAAAAATGTATTAGATCAACTTGATAGTGTCAGAAAACTTTAACAGTTATATTGTTGACGTGCACATTCATATGACACGTGCAAATCAGATATAAAAACAAGAGTCACTCGGTGTAAATGTCACTCGGCAAGAGTCGGTCAAAAGTAACTTCAGAATATTGTTTCATTAAATTGCTATGCGTCCATTGGAGAGCTATAATAGAAAACAGCATCATAACAAATTCCAAATGATGTCTAGTTTCTAAACATTATAAATGCTACAATCAGGTGACTGACAGGAATTTATAATCAACAATGTAGCTAATCAATTAAGTCAAATAAAACAGAGTTAAAGTCTTCATCTCAGGTGTGAGGACGTGTTTGTTTTCTTACTCTTCTATGACTGTAAAATGGACATCTCTGGGTTTTGGACTGTGAGGTGGACAAAACTTAAAAACTTGAGAGCTGGAAAACAGTGCTGCAGATTTGCAATATTCTTGATGCTTCACTATAGATCAAATGAGCATTTAAACAGCACTGTCTATCTACATTAAGAAATCACCATGCCGTGTCCTCCCACCAGCTGCAGCATCTGAGCACTTCACTGGAGAGCAGCATTTCCTGAAACCGGAGACTAAAACTCTGACTCCACCGAGCTGCTAATGACTTCACCAACCATTACCGATTTATCCTAATAACGACGCATGAAGTCGGACTGTGTAGTGTGTGTGTTTGTGTGCTGGCTGCTGTTCAGACATCACGGATTATTGTGCGACCAGATGGGTAACGTTAGGTTAGCATTGTCTCCAAACCACGAGCTAGTAACTTACACTGGCTAACATTAGCTGACTTAGCCACTCTGTATCACTGACACTTCACGATGAGAATAGTATCACGACAGTGGACTGTCAGTGTGGTTCTGGATAAGGCAGGATTTCACTCAAACGACCCCGTGTGTGTCTGTCTTTGAGGTCCGACGGCTGACCTGCTAACAGCCGAAGTTACCAGACTGCCAAAAAAGGGAGCTAATGCTAGCTGCTCTCAAAATATCAACTGACCTTCCCTGTAAGAGCAGCGAACACAAGTAAATGATCACTGTAAGCTTGCCAAAACGCAACACATCATGTACTTTAATATTACGACTACAGTCCTGACCGTAAGCCCTAATGGCACTAAAGCCAATGCCCGGGTTTGTGTTTATTTTGGTTACCTACCATTTTTACACCCGCTGTTTGACCAGTTTGGTAGCCCGACTGTCGCTCATTGTGCGCCTGCGCGGAAGTAGCCAAAACGCTATTATAGGTTTCAGAAGAAAGATGAGGTTTGGCGACAACTGCTGCGTTGTTGTTTCCATTATTTACAATTAGTTGCCAAAGATGGATCCGTGTGCTTATTTTTGCTTTGAGAAAAAATAAATAAATAAATAAAAACAAAAATACAAGCACATCAATGGGCTTCTTTTTGAACTTAGAGAAAAAGTTAGACAATATACTTTATTTTTTTCTGGTTAAAAACGTGGCTACAAATAGTCAACTGTGCAAAAAATATGTAAGAAAAAAAAATTGCTGCACAGCTGGTGACAAATTCTCAACCACTGAGGTAATGTGCACCACAGTCAGGTGTGCCTTTAAAAGACAATGATCACATAATGTGAACGACACAATGGCATTCCTTTGACCAGTGACTATAAAAGGCCACTTTAAAATGCAGCTTTATTCGAATGACATGATGCCACAGCTGACACGTGAGCTAGGGCTGTGGTCAAGCACTGACTGTTCACAATTCCACTAACTGTCGTCTCAGAAATAGTTTCACGCCACAGGGTCTGACAGATCATCTACCAGATGATGCTCTGGATGGACGTGTCCGATCACACAGAATGTCCACCAACTTCGCCGAGCCCTTCAAGATGAGTGGGACAACATTAAACAAGTCAACACTGACAACCTCATTGTGCATTTCAGTTGTGTGGCTCTACACAGTGCAACTAGTGGACACACTGACTTGTAATTTCTGGTCTATGACTCCACTCTCAAGCTGCCCATTGTAATTTCCAATATGGTGCCTACTTGGTTGTGTCATTGCATTTATGCTGCTGCAGAAATCCCAAGCATTATAATAATAAATACCTATTTACCTATGTTAAAAAACATTGATAGAATTTAATGAATATGACACGCTGCCTATTTTTGCTCAGTATATTTTATTATAGCATGTACGATACAGGAAAATTCCCCTTAAACGTACACACAACATTGTTAAAAATGAAACAGAACTCCACCCTTCAGCCTCAACACACAGGGACATACTCTCTGACTCAACACCCAAACACACCAGCACAACCAACACAATACACACCCTAAAACACAGGAATTGTAATCCTCCTTTCATACACATCAAACCTGTCCTGATGTCCTAATAGGAAACAAACAGCTCACACTGCAGCGTTTTCATTGGAGAGACAGATGTGCCCAAACTGTCTTACAGAAAGTTGCATTCAAACTGCACCGGAACCTGAGCTAGGTGGCATCAAAAACAACAAAATGAAAAAGCAAAGTAGGTATCCTAGGGGGCCCAGAACCTCAGGAGCTCCCGAAGCCCCGGGTTTTATGTGTGTGGTGTGGTTTGTTCCTGTTTCAGTCGAGCATATTGATCAGTCAATGCAATAAAGGCCTGAAGATAGCTCGGAATTCATTACCTGGCTTTGGGGGGCATCTTGGAGCAGGTCCCAGTCTTACATCTTGTCTTAAGATCTTATTGTGTAGGTGTTGTGTTCGCATAGTTGCATAGTGTTTCTAAATCGAAACATTTTTTCAAACTGCCAGACAAAAAAGTACACACTTTGCACAAAGAGTGTGAGTGACAGGGGGGTTAATGGGAGACCAACAGCACCTTCTAGCCAGGCAAGGCAAAGCAGGTGTATTTGTGCAGCACAATTCGTACCCGACGTAATTCAAAGCGCTTCACACAAAACTATAAGAAGACAGTTAAAGTCAATCCACAAAAAATAAACACAATCATTAATTAAAGCCGCAAGCGGCGATGGACGGGTCCTCGCCCTACGCTTGTCGGCCGTTGTGGCGCAAACGTGTTCCGGGATGGACTCTTATCGTATCGAGTTTGGGGCAGATCGGAGCACGTGCGGCCTAGTTACGAGCCACTTCCTGTTTAGTGGCGAGCCGCAGCGGCGTGCGTGTTGGCCATGGCGGAAACGCGCTCTGGCTGAGACTCGGAGCACGGCGCATAAAATTTCAGGCCGATCAGAGCATGCACAAGCCAGTTACACAGCACGCCTCATATTCTGGTGTTTTATGGCGTTGTGGCTGAATTCAGTTGGGCGCCATTTCCACAGTGTCAGACTTGTGCAGACCGGTTGATGAACTTTTAATCACCACCTCCTGTACTTTGTGCTGGCCAACTTTCAGGTGTGTACAACCTTCCCTGTAGGAGGAGATAGATTTTGAAAATGGCCAAAAGTCGGCCAAAATCTGCAAAATTGTCACAGAGTTTTTTCAAAATGGCGGACTTCCTGTTGGGTTTAGGGCTTGGCGCTGATTGACTTTTTTGTGCGTCCTGAATTGCTACACATGCCCAGCAAATCTTGTAGCTGTAGGTGAAACGGCCTTTCGACAGGACTCTGATAAATGCCAAAAACACCGCAAAAATGGACAAAATGGCCATTGAGCGAAATTGTTACATATGTGTGGTGAAGTTCGTAGTTGTAGGTGAAACGTAGCCACGATGGGACTCTGTTGAAATA